CTAACTAAACCTTTTTCATTTCTTAAATGCATTTCATTAAATGCAGAGGTCACAAAGTAGTGGCCTTGGGTTGAATTCCAACTACAGATTGGCTCATACAATAGTTTAAAAAAGTATTTAGGCTATTTCACATTTTGGGAGATTTCACTTTTATAAAATATGAATTTTAAGCTTTTCTTTAAAAATCGTGGCATCTGGCAATACCTAGCCTGCATCCCAACCTGACAACCCTTGGCTGGAACTGAGTATCTACTGTTGCTTTAGACAAAGCCTGGGTTCTCCAGGTTGCCACACCGCTCTCTCCTGCTCTCATTTACTAATTCTTTTACATTATCTATCTGACTCCCATCCTAATATATCATGCTCTTTTCCCCTTGGTCTAGAATACTCTTCATTCTCCAACTTCTTCACTCACTGTCCCTTATTCTTTTATATATATATATTTTTTTTTTTTTCTTTATTGATTTTAGAGAGAGAAAGGGAGAGGAATACAGAGAGAGATAGAAACATCAATGAGAAATAACAGTGACTGGCCGCCTCTTGCAAGCCCCAACTGTGGATTTGGCCCACAAGCTGGGCATGTGCCCTGACCAGGAATTGAACTGGCAACCTCTTGATGCATGGGTCAATGCTCAACCAGTGAGCCACACCAGCCGGGCTGCTGTCCTTTATTCCTCAAGTCTGAGTGCTTTCAAGGGAAGTTTTCTCTATCCACCACCAACCCCAATTAGGATGAGATGATGCACTATTATGACAGCCACCCACTCAGGAACCTATCATCCTGTCCCATCTGTTTTCTGTGGTTCTCTGCTTTACCCCTTCATATAAGATTGCGATTTTCTGTCCCTTCTCCAGACTTCTAGGTCATAAGAGAGTAACTGTAACTGTAGGCCAGTGGTATACATAGAAAGAGGCTCAACAACACATAGTAGGAGCTCAATAAACACTCATTGAATAAATAAATGAAACAAAAATTAGCTGAGGAATTGCTGATTCAAAATATTTGGGATGTGAGTATGTATTTATGTTTTTATGCATTTTTAAAAATTTGGACCTTTAAAATGTCATTCCCCCACCCTTAAGAAACTGAAATAACTACTTGAGTAGTAAACACATAATAAACAACTGGCACTATGCTAAGCACTTCACATCAATTAGTTCATTTAATCACTTCAATAGTCCTTTGAGCTAAGTATTTCCATTATTCCCATTTTGGAGATGAGAAAACTGAGGACTTAGGAGGTTAAGTAACTTACTCAGGGTTACATGACTACTAAATGCTTGGGCAGGACTCCAACCTAGGCCCATCAGAATCTGAAGCCAAAAGTTTTAGCCATCTACGTTTATTAATATGAGATTTTACATGTGCCCTGGATAAATGACCACAGATAAAAGGAGATACTACAGAACCATTTATCAGGCAATTGAAATTATAGTTCCACTCCTGCCACTAACAGGCTAGCTGTTCAACTTTGGATAAGATGAAGGTCTTATTCTCAAGTCAGTACAGTAACTTGTAGAAGATAAAGATGACCGAAACTTCTCTCAAGAGACTTCAGACAACACAACGCCACCACCAACTTTATTCAGAGCCCTTTTTTAAAGCTATTTGTATGTGCTTTTAACAGTTAACTTTTACTGGCTAAAGGAGTTAAAGGGGTGAAGAAAGTTCTTATACATAAAAGAAGCTTTCTAGCTTAATATTCTTGACTATTATACCAAACCACATGGTTTCTAGGGCAGTGACAGGATCTTTAATCTCATTTCACAAAGAGGGAAACAAAGATACAGAGCAATAGGCCAAGTGTAAAGTTAACTTCACATCCTCAGGCTGCCCCTCAAACTGCCTTATCTCCCTGTGTGAGTTGGATCTAAGTTCTCAAAGCCCAGTACTGGTATGTAAAGACTAAGAAATCCTACACATATCCAGCAGCTCGGTGAATTCTTCACATGAGCAGGAAAAAAATCAGAGATGTCATTGAGTGACATCAAATACAACCTAATCTGGTCAATTTTTTGCAGGGGGAATTCTTGCCCATCCCTTGGGACAAACCAGATTTTATTTTATTTATTTATTTTTTAATATTTTTTCTTTATTGATTTTAGACAGAGAGGGAGAGGGTGGGAGATAGAAACATCAATGAGAAAGAACATCAATTGGCCGCCTCCTGCATGCCCCGCCCCCAACGGGGATTGGGCCCACAACCTGGCCATGTGCCCTGATATGGAATCAAACCGGTGACCTCTTGGTGCATGGGTCCACACTCAACCAGTGAGCCACACCAGCCGAGCCAGATTTTATTTTCAAAGGTTAAAAACAAAATAAAACAAAAAACTTTCACTAAGAATCTTGTAACTTTTTAAAGTCAAATTTCCAGAGTCAATCCAGGGCCTATCAGGCCATTAAGTGTTCAAGTTTCAACTTATTAAAAATATTACATTTGAGCCCTGGCCGGTTTTGCTCAGCGGTTAGAGCGTCGGCCTGCGGTCCTGAGAGACCCGGGTTCGGTTTCCGCTAAGGGCGCGTACCTCGGTTGCAGTTTGTCCCCGGCCCTGGTCGGTTGTGCGGGTTGCAGCCACTCGATGTGTTCCTTTCATATCGATGTTTCTCTCTCTCTCTCTCTGTTCCCCTCTCTCCCTCCCACTCTACCTGAACAAAAAATGGAAAAATGTCCTCGGGTGAGGATAAAAAAAAAAAAAAAAAAAAGAATAAAAATATTACATTTGATCTCTTTATTTTGTTCTATGCATTATAATATAATTTTATTTCTCAAGGAGTGGAGAAAAATTGCACATCAGCACCATAAACTGACTTAAATTAGAATAGAAATGTCTACACCTTTTTTTTTTTTTTTTTTTTTAAATCCTCACCCGAGGATATATTTCCATTTTTTTGTACAGATAGAGTGGGAGGGAGAGAGAGGAAGGGAGAGAGAGAGAAACATCGACGTGAAGGGACACATCGAGTGGCTGCCACCCGCACGACCAACCAGGGCCGGGGACAAACTGCAACCGAAGTACGTGCCCTTAGCGGGAACCGAACCCGGGTCTCTCCGGACCGCAGGCCGACGCTCTAACCGCTGAGCCAAACTGGCCAGGGCGAAATGTCTACACCTTTTAACATTTGTTACCACACCATACGTGTATGAATGTTCTTCCGAGTGTCATTCTAAAAATAAAGAATTTATTTTATTTCCAAGTATGCCTCCCATTTAATGAAATAGAAGCATTTTAAATTTTATTTCAGAAAACACTAGCTTAACTAAATTTATTATCTGTTCCACTCTATTAAGTAAATTCACTAAATAATGACCTGAAAGGACCTTCAGTAATGTATTCTTGACATCATTCTACTTGCCATATGTAGTTGTTAGAACATACCTAATGTCCATAAAAAATATGAAATAAAAATATTAGTCTCTAAGTTAGAGTGGAAGTCCCTTCAGAGCAAGGGACATATTCTAGATTTATCTGTAAAAGCACAACACACTGCACAATGCAGGAACTCATGAACACTCTATTAAATCACAAATTCATGATGAAAGGACTTAACTATTTAATATCAAGTCTAAAGCTGACCTTATTAGGCCACGTACTTGCTTTCTTCATAAATATTTAGAATAGTGCTAAGAATGCAGTGCTTGTGATTTTAAATTGAAAAATTTACAAATAACAGGGCACATGTTTGAAATAAAAGTCTTAAGTTTACAACAATGAGTCTACTTCCTGAGTTGTTAAAAATTAAAAGCAAATTCAAATTTGCACTTAAGATGGAAACGACTATGTAAGGATTGATAAACACCTGAAGTAAACACAGTCTGCTTATTTCCAAAGACTGGGACCAATACACCTGCTATTCGAATTCCTATAACCATAGAAAGAAAGATGGAAGGTCCAGCTTTGTACATATGATTAGGTGGGGAACGGAGGATATGGACACTAATGATCAGATCCAGAAACACGAGTCTTTCATCCCAACAAAGCTATTGGCCAAATCAGCTAGAGACAAAATCCCAAAACAGAAGGATCTGAAGGCAGAGGATTAGAACACAGGACCTGCCATCAGGCAGCTGGAGGAGACCGGAGACGGCAGTCAAAACAAAATCAAGTAATAATACAACTAAGTCATTCCACTGGATGGCTACAACGACCCTCCTCAACCGGCAGGGCAGGCGCACATTTTGCAGCCAAGAACACAGAGGGGCTAGAAGGCCTTATCAATGGGAAGGCGACTGAAACGGGACAGAAATTCCGATTTAACTCCAAGTGGTGGATACTTTCCATCCCGTGTCTGCGATCCCCTTCGCCGGCGCCTTCCACTCCAAGGCTGGCAAAGCGGCAGGAAGGAGAGCAGAGCTGGCAAGGACCCGAGGTGGGAAGGACAGGAGGGAAGGCACCCCTTGCGAACTGACCAAGGCCGTGAAGGTGGTGCGAGGGGTCACAGAGAGGTTTGAGGAGTGCGAGAAAGGCTCAGTGCCCGCGACCCTCCCTGGCCGCGGCGCGGGTTCCCCACGCCCCGAGCCGCCCGGGAGGAAATTAACAACCGCCTCAGGCGCCGCGAACCGTGGGAGCGGAGGCGCAGGATCCCTGTCCCAGCCCAGCATCTGCCCAACTTGCCGAACCCCTTCCGCGCTCCCACCCTCACCTTTGCCCTGCCCGCCCCGCGGCGGCGGCGGCGGCGACACCAACCTGCGCGGCCGCGGGCACAGTCCGGGACGGAAGCCCGCGCCTGCGGCGGCGGAGCGGGGAAGCGGCGGCGCGGCGGGCGGAGTTAGTTGGAGGCTCCGGCGCCCTGGGCGGGGACAGGCTGAGCGCGCGGCGGCCGCGGCGGCTCCCTCCTCCTGGCGCGCGGGGCCCAGCCCTGCCCGCCGCTCGCCCTCCGCTCCCGGGACAGCGCCCAGTCCCTCCTCCCGGACGGCCCCGCGCTGCCCCGCCGCCCGAGCCCGCCCCGCGCTCGCCGCCACCGCCCCGCCCCTGCCACCAGGTCCCCGCACACTCACCACCGAGTCGCTTGCAGCTTCCTGGGGCTTCCTCGCGGGGACTGCGTGTCCCGAGTGTTCGGGCTCACGTGCGGGCAGGAGGTGGCCAAGAGCTGCAACTCTCGCCGGGGAGCCCGGGGACGGGGGTGAAGGCCGGGCCTGAAAGTCTGACTCCCTTTGCTCCGCCCCAGCCCCGCGTCCCGAAAAGCCGCCCTGCGAGGTGGCCACGCCGGCTGCTCTGAGACAGGCCGAGAAAAATGTCCGACTCGCCCTCTGCCCAGCGCGGGGTTGGGAGGACTTTTCCCGTGAGAACCAAGGAACCTCCCCCCTGCTCCCGCCCGGGGTTGAGAGTGTGCAGAAGTGGCAGACGGGGCACCGGGATTGAATCTGTGAAAGGTGCAATTTCCATTCATATACACACACCGCTCGGTCCCTGGATTTAGGCCACGTGGCTGAGGTCTTCGCAGTGCTTCCCTGCTGATACCCCTGGCCGGGGTGGGGGCCTGGAAGGTGACCCTCCCTGTCCTAGCTTGTATTTCCACCTCTGTCTGCACAACATTTTTTCCCAAACCTTTTTAAATCCGCAGTGAGCCCAGCGCACCCAGGAGCGAACCCCCCTCCCTGCCTCATCCTAAAGCAGGAGAAAACTGGGAGCCTGGGATCTGGGAAGTTTCAACCAGAAGGTCTTATACCCAAGTGCCCACACACAAACTGATACACGTTTAATTCGAGGACAGGTGTTTGCCATTGCCTTTACTTTCCAGGGTAGGTGTGTTCAATGCGCCTTTTCCCTCCCCAACTCCAGCTGCGTTTCAAATTCCCAAGTCTCCTCGTCCCTTCCCTGAACCTCTCCCATCCCAGCTCCTAGCAGTAATCCCCAGCGCCGTGCCTAGGCACCTCCTCTTTCTTGTGGTAGGGGAGCAAACTGGAGGGGGGACGCTGAAGAAGATGAGGAGGAAGAAGCCAGTGCACTGAGGCCAAGGAAGGAAAGTGGAACCTAATGAGTACGCGGGAGACAGGCTGTAATGAAGGAGGCAAAGCCTTATGGGAACTCTAAGAAAGAAAATGTTCTCTGTATGGAAACCACCGTTGCTTGCAGTGGACACGTTGGAAAATCTGGACCGCCTCCCAAAAGAATTCCCTGCAAGCGGTGGAGAGTCCAAGATAAACTTCAGGACCTAAAGCATGCTTTCACTTGCCAGACTTCCCAAACTAAATTCCAAGGAAGGCTGATGACCCCAAGCTCTTGGCCAGTGATGAGAAAGTCATCCTGTAAAGTGATGGTCACTGACAAGAGGCAAGAAAACATTGCTTGGTCAGTTAACATCTCGCTGGACTGTTCTGCTTTAGTCATCCGGAAGTCCTTTATCCCTCCCTCCAGTCAGCTGATGGGTTAACAGAAGCAAACATTTGGAACCCCACCCCCTCGCTACCTTAAAGAAGTCACTTTTGGTGAGAGAAGGAAATGGGGAGGAACAAGAGTATTAAAGATGGGTGATTGTTATTTTTAAGCTCTATTTGGTGCATTTTTATGTCAAGATAATTTTCCTATTCAGTGGGTGTACCTTAAAGCGTGGGAGAATGGCTTGGACAACACTTTCAGTGTTACCTTCTCTCATAATTTCAAGGTCCTGCTGGTCACAGCGGCAGCTCATCTGCGCAGACTGAGAGCAAGTGTGTTTAAGGAAGCCACCACCAAGCCGAGATCAGGGAGTTCCTCAGGGAGTTCCAGCCTGTGTGTAGTCCAGCCACTGAGCACACAAACTTAATATGTATTTATGGAATGAAACCAACCGCCCCTACTTTGTGGGTGAGAAGACTGCTTTCTCCTGGCCTCAGGGCTCCACTTCACCTGAGGTTGGCTCTGCACTCTAGACCTGTCATTACAAAACCAGTCCTCAGTGTCCCAGTTTTACTTTTGTAGAGGCTACATCCAATTTAATTATAAAATCTCCTATTGTTCCCTTATTTCCTCTAGTGCACAAAAGGCTAAGACATTGCAAGTTCAAGAGGCTAGAAGAGACCTGCCTGAATAAAAAGTGTCTCCTTTTCTACTCATTAAAGGAAAAATCATCTCTGAAATGGAACCTTATTAAACTTCTATTCTTTCTGGATATGGCAATCCCTCTGTGTCTGTCAGTTACTTTAACTTTATGTAAATGATACAATCATATCGCAAAAAGTTTCCAGTCAGCTGATAGGGATAAATGGTCCAGTTTCTCAACCCCCTGCTGAAAAAAATTCTTTATTTTATTTTATTTTTCTTTTTTGATTTTTAGAGAGAGAAAGGGAGAGAGAAGCATTGATGAGAGAGAACATGGACTGGCCCCCTTCTGCATGCCCCCCACTGGGGATTGGGCTCAGAACCTGGGCGTGTGCTCTGCCTGGGAATTAAACCAAGGACCCCTCAGTGCATGGGTCAGTGATCAACCACTGAGCCACACCAGCTGGGCTGGAAAATAATTCTTGTAGCCAAAAAAAATGGGAGAATGTATTTACAGGCACAGAATTGGTTTCTGACACTGTTCCAGAGTAGATGGAGCCAAACATTCCTCCATACCCTCCTCTTTTTTCAATGTGCCTTTGCAGCAGCCTTGTCCACCTAATATTGTGAGTTCTCCAAGCCAATCCACTTCACACAAAAGTGTTAGGGACTTCAGATGCTGTTGCCTACTAGTGTCTTGGAAAAGAGTGACATTTTGAGAAGTAAAGAAAGATCCATGAGAATCTTGCATAAACTTCTTATTTTTAGACCTTTTTAATAGTTATTGTAAAGAGGGGCCCAATGGAAATAACTTATCCTGGCCAGCTTGCAGAATGTACTGGCCTACAGACTTCTCTAACAAGAAGTAAAAGTGCACCCTTCCTCATTCTCCAGCATTTCAAATGACATCTAAGAGTGCCCCAAGTTTATTGAGAACAGAAGGTTACATTCAAATAGTAGAATAAGTTTCAAATTGGTTATAGCAAGCAGTCAATTTTGCTTTTGCATATTCAGAATAACAAGACAAAATATTAATTTCAATTTACAAGTCATCAAAAAGCACCTTGTGGGCAATATAATGAATAGTCCCATAGATGTTTGTTCTAATATATGTTTGTTCTTTCACAAATAAATTTTCCTCTGAAATATAGACATCTGTCATGGAGTCAATTATCTTGCACAGCATGTACTATAAAAGCACATAAAAGAAATAATATACTACACTGCTTATTTGAAGTAATCCAAAATACTCAGCTCTGCTGGCATGGCTTTAATTTCATGATAAGAAAAAACTATAGGAGTATGAAACAGCAGACCCTTTCCTATTGGAGTATTAATTCAATTGCCTATTATGATATATATGGGAGGAAAAAATTTTCCCCAATAACTGGCTGAAATGCTATGGGACTATTTTCTTGTCTTCCTCTACTAACCCCTGTAGAGAGAATGTGAACATGAAATTTCCTTTGAAAACAAACGGATCACCACACTCTGATCAGCTCCACGGGTGTGCAGAAGAACAAGGCTAGAAATGGCATTCCAAAGACATAAATTATCATTTAAATGAGGCTAGACTCTTAGAAAATGTATGCATCAAACAGACCTCAAGAATTGAAAAGTGCAATAAGAGGTAGTTAGGCCAAGTCAAACTTCCTTGATGTAATGCAAATGTGAAATCTCTTTTCCTCTTTCTTTTCTCAGGCAAACTCCCATTCTCCCCTCTTTCACTGCATGATGCACACATAAATAAAATACCAAAATATTTTGCAGACAGCTCTGTCAGATTAAGTACACAGAGCCTTCTTGAAAACCTCATATTACTTTCTCTTGTGACACTTCAAAATAGGCTTGAAAAAAATTCTTAAGAGGAATATTTTAATAGCTTCCCAGAGAGTAGAATGCATTATCATTACGGTACAAAGGGCATCATTCATTTTTAATTCTTGGCTCCACAGGTGTTCCCTGCTCAGACTGTGGTTGACACTTAGCGGGCCTAATTATGATTCATATATCCCACATTACCCAGGAATTGGCCCTTCTAATTTCACACAATCCCTTTATTCAGAGGAGAAAAATACATTTCAGCCCTAGTTGCTAGACACTCAATCCTGACTGCAGGATTTAAATCATTTTGGGAGATTTAAAAATCCTGATGCCTCAACCCTGCCTCAGACCAAATAATCAAGACTCTCTTGTTGTGGGCCCCGAGACTAGGTGTTCATTTAATTTCCTAAGTGTTTTTTTATGTGCAATCAGGGCAGCCTTTGGTAGAGTATAAACACCAAATTAAAAACATAACAAAACATTCTTTTTTAATATACTCTTTAATGTGAATTGATACTAGTAAGTGAAGTTTTTTACTTTTTTTTAATCAAGAAAGTTATTCATGTGGTTTAACAAAGTAATTTTTCCATACCAAATTATGTTTTTTCTACCTACCTTTCTGGCTAAAACAGCAAGGCTGGCTCACAATGAAAATCCATGACCTACCCTCATTTTGGTGGATTTATTACTGGAATCAAAGCCATAGATCATTGCAGGAAAACAGACTAGTGGAATAGTGAATCTTATAAGTCTTAAAATCCCAAAACTAATTCCTTTGAGTTATTAAACCATTTTTTAATTTATCAGTTAAAAAAAAAAAAAAAAAACAGATGCATGCTATAATTAATTCATTCTATAAAGGTCAAGGTTTAGAAACAAAATAATTTCAGGGACAACCAGGATCATCAATTTTGTGTAGATTCAATGCTAATGAAAAACCAAATATTTGATTCTGAAAAGGGAATTTTAAATGTTGCCAGCAATTTCACATACGTAGCTAATATTTTGAATATACCTGTGGAATAAAAATAATCTACCCCCCCCCCCCACCGAAGAATACATCATGGGTTTTTTATATATAATATCTGATGTAAGCCATAAAAGCTTTCCCCATGCAAAATTTAGTATGCTGGCATAAGGACTGAGGTGAAATAGGGGGACATAAGAAGGAAATCAACTGATAGGAAATTGATATATTGGATAACCTGAATAGGCTAATAGTATGTGGACAGTAGCGATCACAAGGTAAAGTAAAGCTAAGTAAACACTGCTTTTATTCACTGCCTTATTGAGGTTACTAGCAGTATAAGAAGTTGGTATGGCAGAGATACAGGTTAGCATAGCCACTGAATGTAGAAATCAATGTCTCTAACGGCTGTTTCACAAGCTTTTTTTTAAGCCTCACCTGAGGAGTTTTTTTTTAG